TGATGACAAAAAGGAGTGGAAATAAGACTGTGATAAAGACTGTTTTGTCTTTGTGGATTTATATCTAAAGAAGAATGAAAATCCTTTACCTATCTTCTGTCTCCCTACTCTCAAATAACTCCCTTACTTTCCTCTTTTCTTGGAAGGAGGTATGTGATCGGGAAAACTAGCAAGATGATGCCCTCACAAATGTCTAGCTAAATAAAGGGTAATTGACCTAATTGTGTGTATATATTAAAGCTATGATTAGGAATTTGTAGTATGGATTTTCTTCTTAATTTCTCGTTCATTGAAATGCCTGAAAAATGATCAGAACACAAGTGTTAACAGAGGCAGAAGTGTTAATCCTTTGGGTAGATGTATCTCTTTTGGAATGAGGTCCGCAGATAGATTTGTTTCTTTAAAAAAAATCGATTGTGTTTCTCAGCAGAAGTAGGAACATAGCTCATGATGCTCCTGATTACTATATGAAGAAGCAGTAAAACGGAAAATGATTAATTTGACTAACGACAAATCTCTTTTGGGCTTCTTTGATACAGAGAGAACATAAAAACGGTTTGTCCTCAAGTTTTTCGTCCTTAAGTAATTTATAACATACCCAAAAAAAAGTGCTTAGAAATGTAGCTTACTCAGTAAGTTTATCAAAATTGCACAATAAAATTTTATAGTTGAATCAATAAATGGAATAATGTAATCTGGTTGCCTTCAGGCATGCGAAACTCACACTTGCATGAATGGCTACATTCTTAGTGTATATTTAATGCATGTTACAAAGTATTTCATGGAGACATGATATTCTGTAGCAGATTATAATAAAGATCTCCCCTAGAGTGAAAAGGCACATGATTCTGCAAAAAGCAGAGAAGCAAAGAATTCTCCAACCTCTCTCCCAAATGTCAGGTAGACGAAAGATGGAAGGAAGAGTAGCAGATGCCTACAGTGTTCCTTCTCCTACAAAGTCTGAAGTCCGCAAGAAAAAAAAAAAAAGAAAAACAGGAAAAATAGTTAATGTTCTACGTAGAATGAGATGGAAGCAGTACGTCGTGCAAGATAAGCCGTTCCACTAGTACTGGAGGGAACTGAGAGAAATGTAAAGGCTGGATGTTCTTACAGTCAGAACCCAAGCTTACATGTTTGTGTCTATGACTAAGCCACTCTTTCACTATGTTTTTTCTCTTTTCTCCTTGCTTTTACTAAGGAGAACAAAAATGTATATGCATATGTTGAGGAAAGACGTATCCAAGAAATGTAGCTTACGCTATTGTTTTTCTCTGGTTTGTGGGTGTGACTATAGAATTGAAGGCCATGAAGAGCTGAACTGGTTCATGCTTTAATTTACAATTTTAATTCACAATTCTGATCTTCCAGGGAGAATCTGGAGACTATTTTCCAGGAGATGAAAGAAGAATGTCATCGAATATGTATGCTAGCCGGAGAACAAACAGACCGACTGAGTAAATTTAAGATAAAGAGAGAACCTGAAACTGGTAATATCTTACTTAAGCTCTTATTGTGATTCAACTGTTTGAAAGCTTTGCTTTGTATTTGAAAATACTGTAGATTACACATACATAGAAGTACTTCTCTGTTTACCATCTGCCTTTTTCAAGTCTGTTCAAATGGTACATGGTATTTTACCAAGAAAAGGCACCACCAGGTTTGGTGTTTTGTGACGAATGCTCCAAATCACTGCTGCAAATACAGTCATCACACCAGTGGCTCTTGTAATTCTTTTGTCCCTTGCAATGAGAGGCAGACACTTACTACAAGTAATATCTCATCATGTTGCGTGAGTGACAGCACTACTTACTTTTGATTTAACTACCAGTTCAAAAAAATGTGTTATGAATGTCTCTACCCCCATATTTGTTAAGAGAAAAGTATTGGACTGGGGAGAGTCAGAGAACTTATTTTCTAGAGTTTGTTGTGCAGATTTGTAAATACTGTTTTGTTACATGAGACAAGAGCCTAATCCAGGACTTCTGAAAAGACAGAAAAGACTTGATCTTCGTGGCAACTAGAAGAGGTCTTGAAGGTCCATTTCAGCTAATGCTTTTATTGAATATGATATTCAGTGATGTATAATGGCTACTATAGCCATTCCTACCTGTTTTTCTTGACAGTAGGATCAGGCTCTAAGAGATTTCAGGAAAACTCTGCCAAACTTAACATGCTTGAAGCAAAAGGCACTGATTCCAGCACTTGCCTCTAATTTAAGTTATGCCATTAGTTAAGAGTTGTTTTGTTCACTTGATTTTGGTTTTAGATATAAATGACCTGAGAATGTGTAACCTGTGGCTTCAAACGGCTGCAGTTGAACTATATTGCTGTATTGCGACTGAATGCTGCCAAACTTGGTGAATGGAGATGGAGGGGAGGTAGGGAAACTGGCAGGAGCTTAGAAACTTATCCCAGAGTGGACTTGTTTTCATTAAATCTGTGCCTAACTCAGCTATGTGAAAAGCTACGTGTGATATAAATCTGTTTGCTTTCTGCTACTTATATGGCCCACTTTACTACGATATCTGAGTGATGTCAGGAGGCCATTGTACAATAAATGTGCCCTGAAGTTATTCCCTGGCCTGATTAGGAGTAATCATGTGTTATTTGTGTTACTGAAGTGCCCTAAGTTTATGGGGAATTCTCAAAACACAGGGAAAATATGGTCCCTCTTCTGAATAGTTATACAGTTGAAATGTTCGTATTGTTTAGAAAGAGATGGGACTTCAGCACCTGAATACCTTCTAAAATCTTGCTTATGGTGCCTAGCATGTTGTTGGCACTATATGAAATAGTTTTGGTTCCAGCTCCTATTTCTGCCAGAACACTTCAGTAAATACATGCAAAGATGTGTTAAGAGTATGGGGCAACGTAAGTTTCAATAAAATGGAAATGTTTATAGCCATAAGTCAAAGAGAAACAAAATTATTAGAATGGAATGATTTACTTCTGACCATTTCTGTGTTGGAGAGAATGTCTGTGAAAGAGAAATGTGCCTCAGACTTCAAAGAGGAAAAAATAAAGTTAAAAAGCCAAGAGGGAAGATAAAAAGCGTCTCAGGAAAATTACTCCATCACACCCTATGCACCTTAATAATTATTTTCAGATGGATAGTTTAATGTTTTCTTCTTTCTTTGCAGAAATACAGTTTTCCATGCCTATACAGTGTACTGATAAAACTGATGAACAAGCAGAAGAGCTTTTTAAACCTCGGGTTATAAAGGATATAAATAGAGGTGCATCATGCATCACATCTATCACACCAAGAGGAGTGGGCCAGGATGAGGACAACAACTCTGTAGAATCACTTTCTAAATTTAATGTCAAGTTTCCACCTACAGACAATGACTCTGCTTTCTTGCAGAGCACTCAGGATAAACCAACAGTTCCTTGCACTGCTATAGCTGAAAACATGCTTCAAGATCATCATTTTAACCTGGAGCACAGAGACCATGCTGTTAACCTCAGTGAATTGGAATCTAACTCATTCGAAGCACGTGGAGTTGATCTCATAACCTCAGCTTTACAAAACTTAACTGCTGTTGACAAAACAGCCCCTCCAAATCATGCCAACTTGCCCATAGAAAATACCTGTGACAAAACATGTTTAAAAACAACAGACACTGGTCTCACATTTGTACCTAAGCACACAAACCCGGCGGTACCTGAAGTAATTTTTCCTTCCTTAGAAGCTGCCGGGACAACCATCAGAGGTCCTCATCAGGTACCTTTCTGTTTATACTGTACATTTCAGAAAAGGTAACGATTCAGGCAACTGCTTTGCGAAGTCTTTCATAGAGGATTAATATTTTCTGCGAGGTATCTCCCTTGCCCATTTTTCAAGAGCGTATGTTGCAGCAGTTGTCCCTAATAGGGATGTATGTGTGCAAGGACTTTTCCAGTGAAATAGGGCAGGATTTAAGCGGAATTAAGCATTGTATGTGCTTGCACAAATTTCAGGCCGTGTAGATAGTAGATATTAATCCTGTATTTATTTCAAAGGTGCCATTAATACCCTAAATTGCCCCCTAGATTGCTTTCTTTCTACTCTTGAGCTCATATTAATAGGGCATATATTTTTTAATTGCTTTTATGTCCAGCACAGGATACGACAAACAGACCTAATTAAAAAAAAAAAAAAAACAGAGAAATAATTCACTGGGAAAAAAAATGATATGTTCTTCGTCAAGATCTGAGGTTTATAAGCAGCACCTCACTCTTTTCCTTTAGAAAAAATTTAAATATGTTATTCATATTAAACGATCAAGTAAGAAAGGTTTTTTTTTTTTCTTTTGCAAGTAAACAGGAATACACTAAAATACTGAGTTTACGTTCTTGTAGATACTTTGGGTGTGAATTTCAGTCATATCTATTTAAGTCCATGGGAGCTTCTAAAAGTGAGGTCTGGTTGCTGGCTCATAAGGCAGCTCTCAGTCACATCTCTGAATATTTTGCTAATTTTGCCCCATGTTCTGTCTCAAATGAAATTACTGGCAAAATTATTGTGGACTTATATAGACTCGAATTTTTTTAATGATTTTGTGGCTTTTTCTCCTTGTGAGAGAGAGCTTATTCAAGAGTAAAGCAAACTAGATATTTAGGAAATATCCTAAATATCAAAAACAAAATTTTGATATTTAGGAAATCTGGATTTAGAGGATTTTTACTATATGCATTGATGTAATTTTGTGTTCTTTGCCAGTAAGAGGGGACCTGCAGCAAAAGAGCTTTATTTCTCAACTTTGTCACTGCTTGACAAGCAAAACTAGCATTTGGAAAGCATTTTTAGGACATGTTACATTTGATGATTTTCTCTGCTAAAACCTATGTAGTCTAGCTTAATTTTCTATTGTAAACCACTTTTGGATGGAAAGTTGACCATGTGGAAACTTTGCTGTCCTTCATCTGCTTAGTTTAAACTGTAAGGCTGGTTTTTCAAATGATTTTTCAAATATTTTAAATACCTATTTGTAATGTAGGAGATCTCAATTTGATACTAGCCTCGTATCTGCATTTCCTTCATGCTTTTTTTTTTTTTGTTGGATCCTCAGTTATAGTTGTGACTGAGTTAAATTAAACCATTTATTTTATTACTGGCAGAATTCCTGTGGAGCTGTGAAGCATTCACTCTATTGCTTGATACTCTTCTCTTTTTCTCTGTTCTCTCTCCAGCTTGTTCTTTTACTAGTTAGTCTGTGTATTCATTTTTCAATAGATGGCACCCTGCATTGTGTATTACAGCAAGTGAAACAGCTGGTATGTGATTATAAATTGATAGGGGAGTATGCTGCTTAAAAAGTAGAGATTAACTGTTGATTAATAGCAGTAAGCCTTTAGGTTTGCTCGTTAATATTTCTGCAAAATAAGAAATTAATTTGGGTCCATCATTTAGAATGGAAATTTAAACATTTTGTAGAGAAAATATAATAATGCTAATATGGGAAGGGGGAAAAAAAAAGCAATGGAAAACTTTCCATATTTATAAGTTGTATCTATATAGCACTGTAGAACATAAAGAATATTGATTAAAATGTTGTATCTTATCCAGAATGTTTGGACTGAACAGTTTTACTGTAGAAACCATATACATCTGCCTATATTTAAACATACTTCACCTTTCTTTAACTGCCTTCAGAAGGTTATGGTACATATTTTTGCTAATGAATAGGATTCAGCTTTGGAATTTTTGCTCACTACTGTGTTCAGGGTGGGATTCAAAGGTAATATATATGTAGACTAAATTAGGTTTTTAAAAAGTTCCTTGCACACATGCCCTTTTGACTGCATTGGACCTTGGTCAAACTGACCTTAGTCAAATGTGTGTGTAATACTTGTTTTTAGTATTTTTGTCAGCTTTTTACAGGGTAGTTACACAGCTATGGTTTCCACTACCATTAATGAAGCTCCAATAAGGAGGAGTGAGATACCTGATTTCTTCTCCTAGTGTAGATAAAACTTTCAAGTATTTACTACATATGTTAACTTATAAAATGGAAAACCCCATAAATGCAATAGATTTGGCAACAGCAAGTTCTTGGAACTGCTCTCAGTTGCTGTAATAAATTTAGCTCTTTCCTTCTTTGTGGATACTAAATGTGAAAACTCAGTACTGTTTCCTTAGGATGTAGTAACTTTTTTCAAAAACGTGTGACTGAAAAGAGCAGCAGTTGAAAATAAACACGGATATTAGTGGACGTGCGTTTTTACAGACTACCATTAACTGAGACTTGCACGTTTATGCATTTGTTTACTAGATGATCACAATTTGAGGGGGTTATTTCCACCAAATATTTCATAGAAGATTTTAAAAGCAAGTCACTCATCCAAGGATCTTAATCTATTAACTTCCTCGTAAAGAAGCATATACTTAAATACATTCCTATTGAGAAAAGTATTTTAAGCACATGCTTAATACTCAAAAGAAGAAATGGAAGTTAAGTGCCGGTTTCAGTGTGTTGCTGACTGAGCCATGTTGGGTTTCTAAGAACAGAAATCTTATTATGTCCTCAGTAGAGTTTTTACAGGAATACTTCAGCTTTTTTAAAATAGCTTTTCCTTACCTGACGTGATATTAAAAAGCAGTAGTTCTAAACATTCTGCAGGAATATTTAAGCATGTCAGTGTCTGGATAGATTGAATATGCAATTTACACCAACAACATACAATAAGGAGACTCTCTGAGCTGAAAAAAAAAGTGGTGTGATTGCACTTAATTACTAATTAGTCGATTTAATTATATGGATTGCTGACCATAATGAAAGACAGTAAATCTGATGCTGCTATTTGATAAGCTAAACACTGTTTAAACATGGAATGGGCAGGAAATTGACTCCAAGAAATTGTAGCTGGTTTAAAAAGTAAGGATTAACCACGGTGGGAGCCAGGTTAGTGGCACAGGGAGTTTCCGTGAGAGAAGGAACAAAAGATTCCAACCATTTGTGCTGATGAAATTTGAATGGGAGCTGAGAACTAAGACTCTTGGGTAAGTATAGATAGCAAGAAATTTAAAACTTCAAAAGAAACTACTTTCTAAAATATTCTTTCTTGCCTTTCCATGTGTGATTGAGGCAGTAGAAAAGGAAGTGGAGCCAAAAAAGCTGTGGGGCTCTCTCCTTGGAGGCTGCATCCCCACACAGAGCTGGTAGCAGCTTGCTGCCGTTCCGCCTGCTCTGCAGTCACAGCAGCGTGCATTTAGTTTTCAGCTTTCCCAGAACCTCCTCTTTCTAATACATAATGATGTGTTTTACCCTGCGTTGCTAATATTAATGAAACTTAATTCACTTTACTTGGCAAACTGACAGAAGACATTTTGATTCCTAGTTGGTATCAAGCTATATTATGTCTCTGACCTAAAGTGCATCTCACTTAAGTGCATCTTAACTGCATGGTCAGGTAAACAGACTTGCTGGCTTTAAACTGACTAGTTCAGGGACCCAGAACAGTAGAGCTGCAGAAACCAAATTTAGCATCATTTACAGAATTGCCTGAATGGCAAATATTCAGATGGCTCTATTAAACTGGTGCTGTCATTGCAGAGTGAATCACGAAACTGAGGTCCACTTAGTATGCATATACACTAGAAGGCGGCCAGATTAGACAAGTAACTTAAGCCATATTACATTGCTCTACTTATTTTCTCAGTAAACAGAAAACTAGGTATGTACCAGTAAGAAATAGAAATAAAGTCAGTTTCATATTGATTTTTTACACTAAGTGTATATTTTATTCCGAAGCAAAAATGTACATACTTAATTCTGTTAAATGGCTAAATGTACTGTGGTTTCTACAGTAAAACATTGAAATAAAATATTAGTGAAAAGCCTTAATAATATTTATCATACTGACATTAAATGTTGTTCACAGGAGTATTTATCAACAATAGGTATTTTTTATCTTTGCAATGACTGTATATTTGTGGAACTTAATAAGAAGTCCTATCTTGCTGTTGTGCGAGCTTTCTAGTTATGTTTCTTGTCAGGAGGTGTAAAGCACACCTAGTTGAAATAGGTAGGGTTTTTTTATATATATATAGAACTGTATTTATTGTAAACCACACAGTAATCATTTTCTGTTTCTTTTAGCTTGTTTGGCAGCCTCAAGACAGTGTTTTGCTGGCACAAGCCTATGCAGACTCTGAACCAAATCAGTGTGGAATATGTGCATTCTGCCGAGAAGTTATAACATCTATAACATCTAAGGAAGAATATTTTCGTCATCTGAATTCCCACTTTAAAGTACAGTCTTAATGTATGAGAACTGAATGGATTACTGGTTTTGCATACGTTTAAATTTTGTATTCAATAGATATGCTAAGAATTTTAGATTTAAGACTTTTTATAACAAGAACTCATGGCTGAAATTGTCATATGAGCACATTTTTAATTGTCATCTGATAAGGTAAAATTAAACCATAAGACACTCAACACTGTAATTCACATTATTACTTGTTTTGCTTCAATATTACCTTTGAGATTGATGTTAAAAGCTGGTTTTAGTTTGGGGATATTTTTTTTCAATTAATGATTGCCTCAATAACCCCAAAGTCATGACCACATGCATACAGATTTACAGGATCAAGGATTTTTTTCTTATTAGCTACTGACATTCTGTTCTGAAGTAAACTGGGAGGAGAGGTAGGGTCTTGTTTTAAATTTCTGTTATAAATTTACCAAATTTAGTAATTTAATTTACAACAGTGAACCACTTAAGTCAGATTCTCAGAAAGTCAGTGAAGTACCTGAATGCCAGGTATGCCAAAATTAGGATAGGCTTGTTCACGGGTAATAAAAATGACTTTCCCTTGTCATTTTTATTAATGCCCAACACATTGCTTTCTGGTTTTACAGCATATAAATGATCCTTTTGCTAAAATGTAATGGCAGCAATTTTATATACATCTGATAAATATTGGTAGAAGATAACACTGTTAGTGTGCTTTTGAAGCTCCAGCATATATTTTCATGGAAAGAAAAAAAAAAAAAAAAGAGATACTGGTATCAAGGTTGAAGTGAGAAAAGGCTAAATGTTTCCTTAAACCAAGAGTATCAAAGGTGATGAAAAATAGTATATGAAACCTTTGGTTTGTCTGCCATGGAGTATCTTCAAATCCCTTATGGCCTAGAGGGGAAGGAGGAAAAACCTCTTTACCCAAATCTAGATGACGTCATTTTTAATTTGCAACTGTGCCTAGTAGCTTTCTCAATGCCATTTAAAATCATGTTTAGTTGAAACATGCAGCCTAACAAAATTGCACATATTATGGCTTTATTGGGTCGAAATTGAAGAAGCGGGGCTTTTTTACTAAGCAATTTAAATTAATGATAAAGTGTGACTTGCACTTTTTTGAAAATCCTTTGACAGGTAGTATTAATGTTTTTATTGTAATAAAGCACAACACTTTAAAGATTTATTTGCAGGTGGCCTATTTCCGGAGCAGTTCACACCTGCAGATTTTTTAGATTTTTTCCTTGTCCTGCAGTTACTTGCTGTGTTTCAAACCTCTGGCTTTGGTGGCTGGCAGTGAGCAGAGCGCGCTGCTCTGAGCAGCGGCGCGCAGCGCCCGCCTGCTGCGTAACCTGCGGGAAGTTTGGGAGCTGGAGAGCTCCAGGCCCTGCCGGGATAACCCGCGGCCCCAGGAGCGCCTGGTTCCTGGGGGAGGCTCCGGGTGCAGGGATGGGGGAAGAGAGGGGATTCGCACGTGTCCGCCAGCCCCGCGCTAAAGCGGCTGGTTTTCCCGGTTCTACAATCCCAGGTCACTATATCAAGAGCCGAACAAACAGCAAATCACCGTAGGAAAAATAGTGTCCTCTCGTCCCGCGCCAGCCCCGAGGGGGCTCCGCGCCCTGCCGAGAGCTGCAGCGCCCCGGGCGCGGTTTAGGAAGCGCTTTAACTCCGTGTGTTGAACGATCTCCCTGCCCGAGGGCGCTCGGGACGGCTTCCGGTCAGCCCGGAGCTGGGGCAGGGAAAATAAAAATAAAAATCTCGTGCTCAGCAGTTGTGAGCAGCTGACGTGGGAGGTGAGTGCGGTCCCTGAGTGGGCCCCGCTCTCATACAGCTTTCCTGGAGGAGGCTGCTGCTGCCAGCAGGGACATCTGCTTTATTACACTCACCAGAGGAGGCTCAGCCTTCTTCCCTCCTCTCCCCCTTCCGCGCGAGCTCAGCTCAGCGGAGAAAGCTGAGTCCAAATGGGAAGTGGAATTTCATTAAAGGAAAAAAAATCATAATCCGGAGGGAGGAAGCGGAGCTGGAGAGGAAAGAAGGAGCAGCGGGGTCCAGCCGAGGGGCCCCACGGCGTCCCTCGCTCTCGCGGTCCGTCCTTGGGGGGTGACCCCGGGCTGCCCCGCCGCGGCGCCGGCGCAGGGCCCGGCCGCTGCAGCACGTGCAGCTCCTCGGGCTCTCCGGCTACCTCGACAGCTGCTCGTACCTCTCGTAATTAGACTGTCAGAGCTCGTTAGAGGAGAGGGAAACGCTCCTATGACAGATTCCACGAGTCTTTTTTTTTTTTTTTAGCATCTCTCAGAAATCGCCAGAGCATTAATTGAGATCTCTTATTTTCCTGCAAACAGGAGAAGATCCCTCTACCACCTCGTTTATTCCCGCACCCAATGAGAGCTCCCTTCTGACTGCCAGGAAACACGGCCAATTTCCTCTAAGAGGCTCAGCGAAAGTTACCTTCCCTCCACGGCTACCCAGGAGGAAGACAGATCTTTCCGGCCATGTGAGCTAAGTTTCTCAATCCCCTCCCCATAGCGCCGGATCTAACTAGAAAGAAAACGCAGTGGAAGCGCAGTCTAAAGGAGTGCAGGAGCCTCCGCTCCCGACGCCCATCCGAGGGCAGGTTGATTCGGAGGACACTCGGAGAGGCTGTTCCTCCTCACGAACAAAAGCGCTCTGGGATCAGGCAGAGATGCTCCTACCCCCGCCCATGGTTCACTCGGCAGATGAGACTCAGAGGAGGCGATTTCTTTCCTCACTCCCGTACATTCCCCTTTCCCCCGCAATCATACAAGGTTAACTCAACAGGGGAGTCTCAATCTAAATGGCAACTGGGATTACATTAAAAAAAAATGAAGGAAGGGGGAGGAAAAAATCAGAAAT